GTGTGAGAGAGAGAGAGTGTGTGTGTGTGTGAGAGAGTGTGTGTGTTTTTCAACAACATTTGAATATTTATATTTTCTTTCTTGCTCTTTTCTGATCTTGGTTTAGTTTGTTTAGTCTGTTAAATCATGAAGTAGAAATATCCTTCACACAAAAGTGACTGTTGTCCAGAATACTAACACTGTTTCTGTTTGGGGTCAGTTTGACTCAATAATCACTCTCTGACACCTCAAAGAGCAGCTGCGCTTCTGACGTCGTCTCACAGGGTTACAGTATATGATCTGTCAGCTGATGCGTCAGTGTTAAGCATGTTTTTCCAACCTTGAGATCTCAGAGCCTCAACAGAACATGAGGGTTAATTAGTTAAAAACAACACTGTAATAACTCTGTGTTGTTTTTCCAGATGTCTTATCTGATCATCGGAAGGTTTCTTGGCTTCTCTCTCTGTCCAGATCTCATCCCAGCCTCCATACGCCTCACCTCTCGTCTTATAGCATGTAAATGTTTACACTGTACCTCCACAACGTTTCCATAAAAAGGATGGGATTCTGGTAATGAAGGGAACGCCCGCGGTTCTTTAGTGATGAACGCTGCGTCTGGAAGGACTGTTAGTTTTGGCTGGTTCATTGGGTCGAGATACAGGACTGTGAATCAGTGTGTGATAAAGAGAGCGCACTTTAAACTGAGCTGTAACCTGAGCATTATTATTAAAAATTGGTGCAAAATTGGAATATCCAATAAAACATTTGCGAATAAGCACTGTTTCCATCCAATGAGTCAAAGAGAACAAAATCATCACGTCCTGATAAACTGGCACTATATATGTGACCCTGGACCACGAAACCAGTCAGAAGGGTCCATTTTTTTGAAATCGAGATTTATACATCATCTGAATAAATAATATTTCCATTGATGTATGGTTTGTTAGGATAGGACAATATTTGGCTGAGATACAACTATTTGAAAATCTAGAATCTGAGGGTGCAAAAAAATCTAAATATTGAGAAAATCATCTTTAAAGTTGTTCAAATGAAGTTCTTAGCAATGCATATTACTAATAAAAAATTAAGTTTTTATATATTTACGGTAGGAAATGTACAAAATATCTTCATGGAACATGATCTTTACTTAATATCCTAATGATTTTTGGCATAAAAGATAAATGTATAATTTTGACCCATACAATGTATTGTTGGCTATTGCTACAAATATACCTGTGCTGCTTAAGACTGCTTTTGTGCTCCAGGGTCACCATATCACTAAGAAAAGTAGTAGAAGCCATTGAATATAATAATTTTCATATATAATAAATAACTTGCGCCTCAGAGCGAGCAGACGAAACACAATAAATGCGGTCATTGCTTTCGGAGGTGCATGCTGCTGTTTGGGAAGACAATTATACAGAAATACTTTGACGACAGACTTTGCTCAGGGATTTCAGAATGACCAGAACATTTCAGATGCTGAGTGTAAACGGTGAGAGATGTAGAGGCAGGTGAAGAGCGTTTGGTTAATGGGGAATATTAACCTATTGTGCGTCCTGTTGCCGAGCCCCGCCTTGATGTAATGATTGACAGGTCGGGGGCGTGATCGGCTTGGACTGCATTTTCAAATCCACATTGACTAGTCTACACTGATCGCAGGGTATTTAATGAAAGTGCAATTGAAACCTCTTAAGTGTAAGTGTCAATGCATTTATTCAAAATAAAAGACATTTAAATCCCCATTTTTGCAACCATGTTGCTGCACATTTGGCTCAGAATGTATTTTGAAATTCACACTGTATTTTGCTAGTTATCACGCGGTATCACGAGGAAAATGCAATCTCGAGTGTCCTACCTGTAAGTCTACATGCATTTAGGAAAAATGCCATTTAAATGATAATTTTGCTACAGTTTTTGCTTGGACATGTTAAACATATCTAATCAATTTGGGTAATACAATTTCTTTTTAATTTTGCAACTTAAGCATTAAAATATGTTTTTAATTTACATATTTTTTAAAACTAGTGTAGATAATGGCAAATGCAAATTATATAATTTTCATTTTCATTTTGCACTAAATGTTGCACATATGTATGGGAAAATGTACATTTAAATACAGAAATACATTGTCATTTTGCATATTGCATTTCAAAATGAATTTTGCTACCCGTATGCTTCCAAATCCAAATGGATTATTTTTCTATTTGAAGCCCAAAGTAATAAAAAAGTTTAAAAAAAATTCTGAAAACGAAAATTCTGATTTGCGAATAAAAAAAGTCTGAATTGAAAAAAAACTTATTTTTCTAACTCTATTGACAAATGTAAATTCGCTACATTTTAAAACATTTTTCAGAAGACCAGACTTAATATCTCAAGTTCTTTTGATTTGTAACGAATGTTAACATGTCAGTGGTTGCTAACATTTGTTCTGTCATAAAATCACCACCTTTTCTTCATTGCTGACCACAGGATTGACTTGATCACATTCACTGCTGGTTTTAAATGTGCTGGTCACCCCAAAACGTTTGGTGTGCATGTTCTTCATGAAACCGAGCTTTCTCTCCCGTCTGCAGGTTTGGTCCCGGTCTGGTCATCTACTGGTACGGGTTCGTATCTGAGCTGGACTGCCAGCGGGGCCGAGGGATCCTGCTGAGAGACGGCTTCCCCTCGGACATCGTAACCCTGAGCCGAGTCTGACCCGTCACGGGGCCGTGATGTGAGTCCGGAAGCAATTTATCTTTCCTGCAGCGTGAGACTCCTGGCCAACATCTGCTGTGAACTCCGGCTGAACCCCGGCGGCTCGGATCCTGCTGAGAGACAGTAACACACGTCACTCTTATCTGCCCTCGGAGCTCCGGACAGCCGAGTTCACTCAGAGACAGCCGCGGATGCTGGTTTGTGATTGCTTGTGTTCAATAATAAAGTTGTGAGTTCTTCATATATTCTGTCTATTAAAGTCGAGTCCAGAGTGACGCTCTCCAAAACGTCCTCTTCCTCTCTGAGCCGAGGAGAGATCTCAAGAGCTTCCTGTCTGTGCACTATTAACCCCGCCACGCATGACGCATGAAATACAGTACAAAAACAATGAAATGGAACAGTTCATTCAACCAAAAAAAAGTTTGCATGTGTGTTTTATGTTTTGCATCATATTTGATGCATCAGGCTCATATAGTCTGATAGAGTGAGAAGAAACAGCTCAATTTTATTTAGTGACTCAAACTGAGCAAAAATATGCAATTTAGTAAAGAAAAATGAAATTCTGATGCTTGTAATGTAGATCAATGAGATCTTTCTAACAGCAGATACTGATATTAAATGATCTAAATATCACTCTGTATCTGCAGTAATCTGTCTCAGTAAGATGAGAGTGAAATGATCCAAACATATAATGCAGTGATTGAGAGCTGAAGAAATAAAGGCTCCTCAGAAGATGTGAGATGTTCTGGAGGCTTGTGAAGATCATTCCTCCGCTGAGGAACAGTGAAAGTAAAGCTTCTGGAAACAAACGCTCCTCAAAAGATCCTGAGGATCAGATTTGAGACTCTAAAACATGATTGATGGAGAATCAAGTAAAGCTGAGCTGCTTCAGTCCAGTAAGTGTACATCTGGAGATATTAATGACGTTATTCTGACGCTTACTTGATAAAAACCAGTCAAGATTTGACACGAGAAGCTTGATCTGAAGCTGGATGTTTCTACAATTACACTAAAAGAGCTTTGACTGCAACTCTAAACTATGGTAAACAGGCGAGTCAGTTCCTCTGGAGAGCTTCCTGTCATTGTGTTCATGATGCTTCAGTGCGTGGAAGAGCCTGTGAATTACACTGTGCTCCGAGTGGCCTGATGTTTCCAGCTGCTCATATTTCATGTGTTATATCTCATATTTTAGATTGGGTGGTCACTGATTTTAGCACTGGTGATCTTGAAGCTGGATGGGTTTGATGTCACCAGCTCTCATTAATGTGTGTCAATAAACCGCATTAAAGGAGCAGTTCACCCAAAAATGAAAGTGAAATTAAATTTTCATGAAGATGAAAATCCAGACACATGAAGATATTTTTAATGAAAGCTGTGAGATTTTTGGTTCTCCATTCAGAGTCCATAACTAAGACTTATAAAAAATAACTCAAATCAGTACTTTTATTCATCAAGGATGCATTAAATTGATCAAAAATGACAACAATTATAGAATATTTCTATTTCAAATAAATGCTGTTCTTTTGAATTTTCTCAGCTGTTTTAAAGTACAATAATCGTTCAAATTCTTACTGTATTTTAATCAAATAAATGCTTTGGTGTACAGAAAATACTTCTTTCAAAACTCTTTTGGATTTCATGCATTAAGCAAATATATGACCCTGCAGCACAAAAGCAGTGTTAAGTCGCTGGGGGATATTTGTAGCAATAGCCAACAATACATTGTATGGGTCAAAATTATACATTTTTCTTTTATGCCAAAAATCATTAGGATATTAAGTAAAGATCATGTTCCGTGAAGATATTTTGTAAATTTCCTACCGTAAATATATCAAAACTTAATGTTTGATTAGTAATATGCATTGCTAAGAACTTCATTTGAACAACTTTAAAGATGATTTTCTCAATATTTAGATTTTTTTGCACCCTCAGATTCCAGATTTTCAAATAGTTGTATCTCAGCCAAATATTGTCCGATCCTAACAAACCATACATCAATGGTAAGATTATTTATTTATTTATGATGTATTTCAAAATTTTAAAATTCAATTTCAAACATTGACAGTTTTTTTTGACCCAGGGTCACATGTGGCTGAATGAGGGAGAGTAAACCATGCGCTTAAAACCTGTAATACAGGAGATCTCCGATGTTTTGGTGAAACGCTGGTCTGATGAGCGTCTCTGAGAGGCTGATGTTTGGAGCAGATCTGCAGTGATCCGCAGCTGTTTCTGCTCAGTCATTAACATATTCATCTCTCGGCAGAGCAGCAGGTGTGTTATGATGTGCTGCTTCACTCTCACACACTCATTCTCTGCTGCCAATTAACCCTGCTTTTTCTGATCGTCTTTCCGTCGCAGCTGAGATCTCCATCAGTGGTCAAACGCACAGCAGCAGAAAACTCTTACCAAACACAATACATAAACTATACCTTTTTATGACCCATACATTGTAGAAAATGTTATTCTCAATTCAATAACCGAGACAAAAAACTTGAATCGAATGGTTGATCTTGATGATTAAGAAAAGTCTCACCAAGGCTGTGTTAATTTGATCAAAAATACAGTAAAACTTTGAAATAGTATTACAGTTTAAAACAGCTGTTTTCTATGTGGATATGTGTTAAACTGTAAGTGATTTCTGTGATGCGCAGCTGTATTTTCAGCATCATTCCTGCAGTCTTCAGAGGGACGTCTTCTGTCTGAGTGTTGATGTGGAAGTGAAGGATCTCAGATGCTTCTGCTGGGAAACTGTTCCTCGCACAGATGAAGTTCAGTCTTCGGTGGCTGTAGTGTCGTCTGTCAGCGGATGTTCAGGCGTTTGCTCTGATTGTTCTGGATTATTGTGTTTGGCTGGAGGGATGCAGTCCGGCCCCTAAAGGTCAACGGCTCGAGTGGCATTTGGGTTCTGACAGGTGACCCAGATTCACTGATATTCATGTTCTGTTGCAGCCTGAGCGTCTGTCCATGAGCTGCAGTCAGAGAACAGCAAACCGGTCAGAGACGTGACTCCTGGAGAATGTACTTCAGTTTCTAGCCTTCACACCAGTGACACACACACACACACACACTCACTCTCACTCACACACACTGATTCATTCAGCTCAAGTTATCAGGCTGTTTGTTTCATGTGTGTGTGTGTGTGTGTGTGTATACCTGTTTTTCTATTCTGGTGGGGACTTAAACCTGAATACACAGGTCCCCACGGGTAAACACGCTAATAAATCACACAGAATGGAGTGTATTGAAAATCTGAAATAGCAGAAAGTTTCCTGTGAGGGGTAGGTTTAGGGGTAGGGTTGGTGTAGGGCAATAGAATATACGGTCTGTACAGTAGAAAAACCATTACGCTGTGTGTGTGTGTGTGTGTGTGTGTGTGTTGGACTGAAGCAGCTCCTGACAGCGGCTCCAGCTTTCAGCACTGATGATTGGGGCTGCTAACGGGATCTGCACTGTCACACACACACACAGATACACACACTGCTCTGTAAATGCGGACATATCATAGACTTGTGTTTTTATAGTTTAAAATAGTACAGATTATCTCCAAACATCCACCTGAAAGAAAGAAAGAGTGTTTGTGATTTTGTTTTTTTCTTTCTTTTGAGAACATCTCGGTGAAAGTGAGGTTTTGTCGCTTCTGGAGCTGAATTGTGGCCCCAAACGAGAAATAAATAAACACACACACTGAGCTTTATTCTATTCAGTCACACTATTTTTTTTTTTTATGTTATTGCAGAAAATCCCATATGTTGTCTTAAATGTTATATTATTATTATTACTACAGTTTTATGCACGTGCAAGTTATATTTTATTTTTCATTAAACGGCTGCAATTAAATCGGATGCAGAAAGAAGAAGATTTTAAAAATAAATCATAATTCTCCGATGTAAATGGTGTTGACATTTGCAGATAAAGGTTTTATTAGGAAACCAAGGACACACTGACATGAATACATCTCAGTTCATTCACACGACACAATTATAGTCACAAAAATAGCACTGTATCGTCATTCTGTTTCGATACTAAATCTTTAACACTGGTTGTTGTTTTAGATGTTCAGCCTCACCTCAGGATCATGTCTTCAGCCGCCCTTCATCATCCTCATCCTCATCCTCATCACCCGTTCATTCACGCGGCAGGAATCAGACTCTCGATTATTGAAGCTGTTTTCATAACCGTGCGTGAGCACTTGTGTTCGTTATCATCACAGATATTCCCCTTCGGTCGGATCGATTATAAACATACAGGAACGAGATTGAGAAATATTTCTTCACTTCTGTTCGTGCGTGTATATTTTCATCCAGCAGGGGTCGCTGCGCTATTGGGCCCCGGGGTTTGTTCTCTCACAGCTACAGCATTCAAGCACGCAGCCTTATTTTATTTTTATTTTTTTCCCCAGTAAAATATATATTTTTTGCTCCGTAACCTCTGAAAAAATAACTTTGTTTCAGTGATTAATATTTTTGCTCCTCCGTCTTTAAAAACCCATTAGGTTATTTCATTTAAAAACATTTAATTCGATCAGACGCTGATTAAAATCCCGCAAACATGTACTGCGATTTTCTGTTTCTGTTATTTAGTGTTATTATGCTGCCATATACAAAAACAATAGAAAACCCCTGAGATCCAGTGAGACGTATCGCATGTTGTGCTTCTGCTGTTTGATCGCTGAAATTCTTCATCTCTGATCAACATTAATTACAGAATTACCCGAGAATATGTCAAGCAAATTAAACCATTTAAAATAAAACCTTCTCTGTCAAGAAAAATAATGATGATAATAATGAAAGACTCAATAATAAGGAAATAGGCCTACAATAGCCTACAAAAAAAATAACTATAATAGCTACACTGAAAAAAATGATACTAAATGTTTTAAGGTTAGTGGTTGCAATCGATTTATTTTCGCTACATTTAAATAAACACATTTAGTTGACTAGCTTTCAGCAAAATGTATTTAAATGTAGCTGAAATAAATTGATTGCAACCACTTACCTTAAAAATAAAAAAAGTAAATTAATTGAATAATTTTTTTAGTGTAACTACTCACACATTAATAATAACAGCTAGTATTGTTTCGAGAAATGATGTTTATCTGATACAGTCGCAAATTACGTGCACATAATGTCGAACCCGCTCATCGTATAGTTCATGTATTTTGTCGTAGTTTATTGTGTTTTAAAATCGCTGTGAAATTAAAAGCAAAAGCTACCGCCTGTGTTTTGTGTGCGGATGCTGAGTGTGGATTATTAGAGGTTTGAGCTGATGTGAAGATCCACTGATGCAGCTTTTGTTCTTTACTCTGCTCACTGTTTCTAAATGAAGAACAGAAGGAACAGAAAGAGTGAAAGAGAGAGGTATTATTGCCCTGCATGTGCTTTATTGATCAGTGACTGTGAGCTAATGTCATTATCCTCATCAATAGAGAATCACTGTGATGCTGACAGTGATTAATGATCAGGGGCCTCTCCGCCTTACAATATTGTCTCAGCTTCTCACCGAGCTTTAGTTCATAATTTAAGTTCTTGTTTTTTTTCCCATCCTTTTAAAGTTGTTCACCGCGTCGACCGCTTCTCTGCTGTGTGTGCCAGAGCATCCAGAGCATCCAGAGCATCCAGCATGGCAGATAATGCATTGATCCCACTGCTGCAGGACGGTGGTTTTCTCGAGGATACACGTCCTTCATAAGGCTCTTTCTCTGAGAGTCCGATATACAAAATTAATAATAATATTAATAATAATAATAAAATAAAAACGTATAAAAGCAACACAATCCAGTGCTTGGGCAATTCAAACAAAGAACTACAGGGCAACATTCATTCATGGACCAAAAAGGGAAAATGCATGAGGAAAAAAAGAGGAGGAGGAGGAGTTTGGTGAAGAGAGCGGGCTTCAATCGGCGGAAACTCTGATGCACGAGGAATCATCGTTATACCGGGAACCGTGGTCCGGTTCTCCCGTTATTGCCGCGATCGAGTTTCATTCTCGTGTGTGTGTGTGTGTGTGTGTGTGTTTAATAAGCTGAAACATCCTCTGTTGATTTGAACAGACCCAAAACTTTACAAAGTGTTTCTGTCAGCTCTTGGTCCTCCAGCAACAAAAGTAACAAAATTTCACAAGATAAAAAACGATCACAGCTCGTCTGGAATTCCACGAGAAGCTTCTAATTCTGCTGTCGGATGCTTCAGCGCATTCTGTTTTCCTTCACAAATCTTTCGTGGGGTTATTGTCCAGTATTGGTTGGTTCCTTCGGTCATCGGCCGGTCCAGCAGCGCTGTGGTCAGGGGGTCAGAGGAGTCGTGGTCGAGGAGGGGGTCTGTGCGTTAGCATGGCCACACGGGTCGCAGGGTGACGAGGAGATCGGTGTGACAAACACAAGAGACGAGGGGCTTTTGGTGGAGGAGGTGATGCCCACAGGACCACGCTGAGGTACGAACTCCCCCGGCACGCCTCGATTCACCTGAGCTTCAGAGAAACACACAGTCAGAGGTGCCAGACCAATGCAACCACAAAGCCACACTTATCCTCACTTACATAAATGAACTATAGTGTCCTGCACCCACTAGTAAAAAAATATAAAAAATGATATCTGGTGTCTGAATAATTTTTGGTTTGACTGTAGATGTAGCGTTCATTTCACTTATCCATCCTCAATCACGCAGCAGAACAAGACCGTTCAAAATGCATGCATTTTACGTTCTCTGGGAATCGAACCTATGACCTTGGCGTTGCTGGCGCCATGCAGTGAAGTGATGTGGATCTTGCAGGAACAACCTAAACTTATCAGCGCTCAGAGCGGTCGAATCCCAGATGAAATTACTGACAGAACGAGATTTGATTTAAGTTCCTTTACGAACTCGCTAAATTATTTAGGGGCTGGTTAACACCGCTCAGTGAACAGCGCAATATCTGCTTAATATACAGGACAAGAACTTACACGGGAAGCCATTAATTGAGCCGCAGACAATAAAGAAAACTACAAGCACAGACGCACGTGCTGGTCGAATACATTTGTAGCACTGAGCTGTGAATCAGAACAGTGCAGTCTCTAGTGTTGCGGTGCATGGGAACACATGCAGGATGCCAGTGTTTTGTAACGTGACCCCAGGGGCTTTAACAACAGTCATTTAAAGGGGGGACAGGGTCACTCCAAGGTCATCAGGCACTCACTGCACATTCCTGTAACGCGGTACATCGCAATTAAAGAACAGTGTAGGCCAAGTTCCATTCTCCACGCATTCATCAGACATGCACGTGTTTATTAAAAAGATCTCGTAAAATCTCGCGAAGCCGCAGTATAACCTGCAGCTCTTCCCTTTAAATGTGCAGCAGATGCGTGTGACGCCGTCTAGATCTGCATCCTTCAGTAACAGCACACCTCTCTAAGCGCGCTCCAACACCGATCATAATTAAACAGCAAATACGGCATATTGTGTGTGTGCGTAATCGAATCAGAGATGGCTAATATTCCTCTGTATTAAGCTATTAATCTAATTGCTCATGAAGCATAAAATATGTTACATAATTAAATAGTCTCAAAATTATCCCGCGCCGTATTAAAAATTATCCAAGCTGAGCAAATGTTGTCTCTGCGGCTGTTTTAGGGAACACGCTCGCCACGTTTCTGAGTCTATTAACGAGGCGGGGGGGCTTCGTCACAGCATCGCTATGGTGACCTACAGGAAACTGCCGTCTATTTACATATAAAGGGTTCTTTTAATCAAGCAAAGTGTTATTATATTGAGGCTCATTGAGCAGGAAGTAGAGGTGTTAAATAAAATCTTCTCTGCCCTGCCACCTTTGGGACGCCATACGTCTTGATTTCTCAAATGTCAGTGGCGCGGCGCCGGCGGGCAGCGTAATGGGCGTCTTAATCAGACGAGGAGATCTCTGCGTTTACATGCAGTCGTTCTTTAATGCCATCCTCCCGTAGCCCACGCGCTCCCATCTGCAGATATTCCCATTCCATCTCCCTCCGTTCCCAGTAAAAAAGAGAAGACACGCGGCTTCCCCCGGTGAAGGATGGCCGTGTCACCCGCCGTCTCTATATCTCTCTCCGGGAGCGTAATGTACTGCACTGCTCCCATCTTTGCATATAAGATAATTTGGGCATCAATCCTTCCCCTGACGGATTTATGTCACTCTGAGGACAGTTTCACTTCTCTTTTTTATCGCTTCACTGGAGCCCGCTTAATTTCACCCCGTCATATTCTACCCCAGGAGATGCCATTTTTTTCCCCCAAATGTCCAACATTTGCATTGGCCGCATGAGACGTGGAGCGCGGCGCCGCTGCAGCGATAAATAAATTATCTAGATTAAAGGCACATCTCTTTAGCCAAGCATTCACATAATGCATCTCGTAACTTTGTACTTCAGCGCTATCTGATCAAATGCACATTTGCATTCTTTTGCTTGGGTTGAACACATCATCTTTGCTTGGTTGGAACAGCAGCTACGCTGATTTCGTCTCTATCTGCTTCTCTGTTTCTGCCCGAGTTAACTAGGTATTGCACAAAAAAGCTTCAGTCTGGATCCAACCCTTATGAAGATCTGAGATGAGCGAACACCTGAGAAGAGATGATGCCAACCCCCCAGAAGACCTCGGATGATGCCAACCCTGGAAGAACATTCAAAACTACCACATTTTGCTTAATCGCAAAGTTTAATCGCAACATATAATCATTGCAGTTAATAGTGTTCACCGTCTGTTTGATTACGTGTAATTTGTAACTAACTGCATGATCCTTACTGTACATTTCTGCCATAGTCACCACTAATAACCTACTCCTAAATATAATGTAGAAACTTAAAATTTTCTGTAAAGCTGCTTTGCAATGATTTGCATCGTGAAAAGCGCTATACAAATAATCTTGAATTGAATTGAATCTTCCTAAACAACAGTTAAAATCAATGAGGTGTGTTTCCCAAAAGCAACTATAGTTGCAAGTTCCGTCGTTACCAATTGAGTTCAAGGGAACTTGCAACCATAGTTAGCTAACAATGCTTTTGGGAAACGCACTCATAGATAGCAGCTGAGATCATTCGAGCTTGAGAGATTCTAAAGAGAGACTTCTGAGCAGTCTGAGATATTTTCTTTCCTGAAACTCTATGGCTGATGATACATGGGGGCAACTTTTTGAGCAATTTTGGCAGGCAACTTTTTTGAGCAGTGTTGCTTAGGCACTTTCCCATAGAGAATGGGTAATACATTTCTATCTGGATACATTAGATTTGTCTGTGTCTCACCTGGTTGCCCGTTGATGGCAACATTGCTCAAAATGTTGCCCCTCATGTATCATCAGCCTATGGGAGACACCTGAGATTACTGGAAGAGAAACATCTGAGAATCAGGATGTCCCAATGTTTTCTTCAATTAAGCGCATTACTAAGACAGGAGTGTCCAATCCTGCTCCTGGAGGTCACCTGTCCTGCAGAGTTCAGTTTTAAGCCTCATCAAACACACCTTAACCAGCTAGTCAAGGTCTTTGGGATTACTAGAAACCTCCAGACAGGTGTGTTAGTCTGATGATACACGGGGGCAACTTGTTTTTTGAGCAACATTGCTTGGGCACTTTCCCATTGAGAATGGGTAACAAATTTCTATTTGGATATTTTAGATCAGTCATGGGTCCTGTGTCGCACCTGGTTGCCCCTTGACGGCAACATTTCCCAAAGTTGCCCAGCAACATTGCTCAAAAAGTTGCCCAGTGTATCATCAGCCTTAGAGCAGGTTGTAGCTAAACTCTGCAGGACATTGGCCTTCCAGAGCAGGATAGGACACCCCCGGTCTAAAAGAAAGAAGTGAGATGTTGAAGAGGTGATCGTAGGAAGATGGTCGCTGGATCTCACCTGCCGGCCGGATGCCCATGTGTTGCTGTCCGTCCAGCACGAAGCTGCCCATGGGCTGCCCCTCCGGACTGTACGCCGCTCCCTGGCTCACTGAAGGATCAAGAAGAAAACCTGAGTGAAGTCAAACGTGGACACCAAGGGAAGAAGAGAGAAGACACACCAATCAGCGATTGCTGTCCGTCCAGCACGAAGCTGCCCATGGGCTGCCCCTCCGGACTGTACGCCGCTCCCTGGCTCACTGAAGGATCAAGAAGAAACCCGGAGTGAAGTCAAACGTGGACACCAAGGGAAGAAGAGAGAAGACACACCAGACAATCAGCGATTATCCCAGCAGCAGCCCAAACACAATCAGCCACACACACACACACACGCCATTCTCCAACGTATGCATCAACAGGACAAGAGGAGGTTACATCAACAGAATGACGTCTATCACTTGGCTTGCTTCACTGGTCTTGGGTTCAGTAGAGAGATCTAGAAACCACGCAGTGGTGCTGATGCTTTCGCTGAAACTTTGCGTGAAACTCTACATCTGCATTAATGTGCTGGTGTTTTCATCAATAAAAACACCACTGCTACATGACCTGTCCATTTCATTCAATTCATTTGTGCTGGAATCATCTCAGCTTCAGCACAGCGAGAAACATTACCAAGCCATCAGTAACTCAAAACCTAGAGAATTTCATTTATGCTTCTGGTGTGAATTCGTGAATGCTTATGCAAATCGTTTTCTAATGTACCATAACACAAAGAGAAACAGTGAAATGCTCCAGAATTACTGTAAAGTTCTCCTGTGGCCAATTAGCATTGAGATGCGCTAATGTCCCTCTAACCAGCGAGATGGAGAAACATCCAATTAGATTCAATCTGCTCTCATTGGAGTGTAGACACGGGAGAGACGTGCTCAAGGACTCTCAAGTGAGACACAAACAGTGTTGAGAACATTTAGAGAAGATGAGATGATGTTTACCTGCTCGATTTGACTGGTCAATCATGGGCTGCACTATTCTTCTTCTGGCATTAATGAACCTGCAAACACAGGAGAAAAACAGACCCATTACATCACCTGCCATCACAAACCCAACTGATATAAAACACTTAGTAGCTTTAGCAGTTAGCAGTGTTATAGTACTCAATTATGGACAAGACCAGACTAAATTTTGAGTCCAAGATCATAATTTCTGGAGCATTTGGACTCGACCTGGACTTGGTCTTGGCTAATCATAAAAATATATATATATCTTGGACTTGAGATGGACTCTTGTCTACGCGGTCTAGTCTGGACTCGAGTACTACCAGTCCAGGTAAACCAGAAAACAGCATACAACTCAGGAGTGCGGGATGGTTCATATTTGATGAATTTGAAAATCGAATTCTCTGATTTTAATAAATGAAAATGTTTGAGTATTTTGCCAAAGCTCTGCCTTGTAGAAATGAGATCTGGAATGGATTCTCCAAGACAGCAATCAGATAAGTGCAGACGTTATCTGAAGTCTCCTGCTTCTCAAACATAATCTCACATGTGTCTTAAAGGACGCTCAGATCTGCCAAGAGAGATCACAGCCATTTCTCATCAAATGATCTGAGCTGTTCTCCACATTCATTTTAAAGCTCTATACTCTTCTGGAGGAACTTCTAAGATGAAGTTGATCATCAAACACGCAACTTCTGAGACCACACTGTAGCCCAAACCTCACGCATGCACAAACATTATTCTTCACGTGTTAGCGCTCACAAGGCGTTCAGAAGGATCGCGAAGTTTGCGATACAAGCGGCTCTTTGAGTGGGTCCCCTGCCCCCTGGTAAGGGCCCATGGCAGGGGTCTCTCTCCTCTCCAGCTGTCTGTAAATGAGCTCCAGGCTTTCAGCAGCTATTGTTATGTCAGCGAGGCCATCAATTAGCCTGTCTGAAGTTTTATCACCAGTATGGCGGCAAATAAGAGCAGCTCCACAAAACCTCTCCTGCAGCTTTTGAGCGCCGGGCCGCTGGGGTCATCGGGAGGTCAGTGCCAGCCCAGGGAACCGTTTTAATGCGGAATGGGCCGTGTCAAAGGCAAACGGCCGCTCCGCGCCAGGAGAGACCTGTACTAAAGGAGCGAGCGTTAAAGGCGCCCACATGTGTTTGATATTAGAGCGAGGGTTCGGATCATGCTGGGGCTATCCTGCATGAAAGAAGCAGGCGAGCGCACACAGGGCGACTCTATGGGACCGGTCATTAGATACAAGCAGGACTGGAATCAATTTGAGCTCTAATCTCTCCTGAAGCCGCCGTACATGCTCTTACCTTCCATTAACTTAAACGCCCGCAATCTGCGCTTGCACAATGACATGCTGAAGTTCACTGCACGCACAGCTGGGAAAAGAGGAATAAGTTTGCTTTCTTTGTCTGAAAGACAGGAGCGCTACTAAAGGAGCACTAGCACCGAGCAACAGACACTCAGATAGCGGATATAACTGAGTGACAGAAAGAAAATCATTAACTTTGAGTGTAAATGCATAATGTGTGGGTATTGAGATCATCTGTCACATGAACACACACCTGTATGATTCATCACTCACACATTTGTTAAATAAACAGCAGTAATTTACTATTGGGCTCTATGGAACAAATGTGATCGGTACCCTGTGCTCAAATATTTGTGTAAGATGACTCTAAACTGTACTGATTGTTTCCATTCAAAAGTGTGACGTCAGTAAATATTTTTTTTTGAAAGAGAGAAATTAATAATTAATTCTAATTCATTAAAAGACATTTATAATGTTATTATAATGTTACAAAAGATTTAAAATAAATGCTGTTCTTTTGAACTTTCTATTCATCAAAGAATTCTGAAAATAAAATGTATCACAGTTTCCACAAATATATGACGCAGCACAACTGCTTTCAACATTGATAATATATATATACAGTATATATATATATATATATA